ATATGCTTCCCATTACTACCGCGCTTGACTCAATTGTCCGTCTCTGTCTGTGAGCAATTATCTATATTTCTATGCCCTCACTTCTCGCCGGTCTTATATACTATAAGAGCGCATGTCTAGCAAACACTAGCGTCTTCGCGAATCTTCTAGACACTCATCACGTGTTATCAGGGTCACGTGACTTCCGCTGTCGTAACAATATCGACCATATTATTTTCGTATTCGATGAGGAGGAATCCACTTTGAGACGGCTTGAATGGGTAACGAAGAAAACTTTAATATAAGTTTAACATAATAGTAAATGTACAAAGTTTTGTGACCATCAGATGTACCTGTTAAATTTATATTAAAGGTTTTCTTCATTACCCATTCAAGCGTTATTAACCTTATTATTTATATATAATTTTATAATAAATTTAAACAGAGGGCAGCACATGCTTTAAAAAATAGGTAAATAGAGGAGCGCAAGAGCATAGGGTAGGCTTGAAAGTTAAATTTCTGTATTGTGCAATTATTATATTAATGTAAGTTTTTAGATATCGTTAAATAGAAATACATCTGAAAAACACGTAGGTTCAAGAAGTCCTAATACTAATAGTAATATCAAACGATGAAAACTCAGTAACTTGTAAGTATAACCTGAGCGCTTTCGAAGGGTCCACCTTTCTTCTTCAGGGTTGGGTTATAACCTATAGAGTTTTTATCGTTTGATAATTGTGTTATTAATTAGGCCTAAATTTGTAATACTAATAATAGTAATAGTACTATTAGTATTCCTAGGTAAAACTAAAAGAGTTGGCGGTGGGTGGTGATGGCTAGCTACCTTCCCTCTAGTCATTCACTGCAGATAGCTCTTGTGTATCTGTGCAAAATTCAAAATAAAACAAACCAAACTTATACATTTAAAAGGGAGAGAGCAAAATATATTATTAGTATTAAGGAAAACGAAAACGATAGTTAGGAAGAATAAGAATTGTTTAAGATATGGCTATTTAGTGTGAAGTAGGGAAATATTACTAATTAATAGGATTGTAGCATGAAATAATTTCTGCTAGTACTAGTAATTAATTAATTATAGTATTAATGGAGTTTTGTCAAAGTGGACCCTTGTCATTAATATTACTACCCGAGCTTGGATCTTTGATATTTCTTTCATACAGTAATGATATTGATAGGATCATAACTTAGTAAATTTCTAAAGTTCACTAATGATGTTAAATTTTTTAGTATTTCTAAGTGTATTGAAGGTGTTAAGGTACTGCAGAATAAGATTGGACTAGTAGTTGGCAAATGACCTTTTAATTATAATTTACATTAAATGCAAGGTAATACATTTGGATCACATTTGATATAAATGGAAACCTAATCACTTGTGTACCTGATGAAAATAATCATGACATAGTGATATATATGTTACTAATGCCATAAAAGCAATAGAGCTTATAGAATATTAAAGTCTATTTATAAACATACTGATTAGAAGTCAAAATATATTACTAGAAATCACTAGTAAAGCATCAGTGGGAATTTATGGATGGTTTTGTTCTACATGTCTAAGAAAAGGTTCAGAGGAGGGCTACTAACACAAGGATGATTCTGGAATATAGGTTCATCTTATGGGTGTAGGTTAGAAGTTAATAACTTATTTTCTCTTGAGGAATGACAAGACATGATCTTACTGAGCTTTACAAGATTATATAGGTGATAAATAGGATAAAGGCTTCTGATGTCTTTATGCTTAATTCTAAAGGTGTAAGGTTGGGAAGAGACAGGCTAGGTTCTTGTCAGTTATGGAATATATTGCTGTTGGCAGTAGTTGAGACCAGCTCTCTGCAGGAGAATTGACAGTTGTTGAACAGTAAAGGAAGCATGTGCAAGGAGAGTCTTGAAGGACCAAATAGTCCTTGTTGTTCTTAAGTTATATTATGATGAAATAACTATATTCCAAAATGTTTGACCTGTGTAAATACAATGGTTTATATCCTAAATATAGACTGTAGGCAATAACAGCTTGACTCTTAAGAAAGTAGTAGTTACTAACAATAATTATGATTTAGTTAATAAAATTAGTAGACCCACTACAGGAATGAATAGTTATAAAAGTATACTGTGTACTACTGTAACACGTAAATTTGTGGAATTTGTCAGACTTTTACTTTAATTACTAGCCTACTGTACTGATATTTGTATAAGTTGATTGAGAACTACATTTAATCCAGGGCTGGTTATGTTACTGGTAGACTCTGTAACAGTTATTTTATCCAGTGAGAATATATTGTAAATTTAATTTTTAACTTTATGAAATTGTTCATAAGATTGAAATTTTATAATGTACAAATACCAAAAATGTAGACTGGGTGTGGCTTCATGTCCCAGCATCACAAGAAAATACTACTCATTTGAATGCTGTGGTGCATAAACGAGTCACATCCTGCTGTTTAGTACAACAAGAGCTGGTGCTGTTTACTAGTCGTCTTCTATTCCATTTTCAACCTGAAATATGTGAGGATATTGAAAAATGATACATGAACACACACACACCTAAGTAGTTGCCTTGTCAGTTCAAAATTAGGGATGGCTATTTGCAGATAATCCTTATGTATATTTGCATGAATATTCTAACCATAAAAATTAATCACAAAAGCATCTGTTTGTTGCTAATAAAATTTTCAAACGTAAATACATCTATTCCAAGACAGAAGAACCAACTGAACCTGGCAGCTAATTAAATAACACTTGATATGTAGTTCCAAATAAATAATATCCTAATGTTCTGCTGATACATCTGTAAAATCTCGTGTTTGCTTCTATTTAAGCAAAACTTCACAGTTTATTGATTTTAAGAGATTTATTATAGAAACACATCACTTAAATAGAACTAGGAGTTGATAGGTAGTCACACTCTGTGTTGGTTGTTTTTTCAATTTTTACCTGCAGTAGTTAGCCACGCTCAGGAATTGTTGTTTTCCTAATGTTGTCATGTGTTAGTTAGCCATACTCAGGAATTGTTGTTTTCTTAATGTTTTCATGTGTTGGTTAGCCACACTCAGGAATTGTTGTTTTCTTAATGTTTTCATGTGTTGGTTAGCCACACTCAGGAATTGTTGTTTTCTTAATGTTTTCATGTGTTGGTTAGCCACACTCAGGAGTTGTTGTTTTCTTAATGTTTTTATGTGTAGGTTAGCCACACTCAGGAATTGTTGTTTTCTTAATGTTTTTATGTGTTGGTTAGCCACACTCAGTGATTGTTGTTTTTGTGTGGTGGTTAGCCACACTCAGCAATTTTTTTTTTAATGTTTTCATGTGTTAGTTAGCCATACTCAGGAATTGTTGTTTTCTTAATGTTTTCATGTGTTGGTTAGCCACACTCAGGAATTGTTTTTGTGTGGTGGTTAGCCACACTAAAGAATTGTTGTTTTCTTAATATTTTCCTGTGGTGTTTGGCCACTTTCAGAAATTGTTTTCTTTGTGTTTTCCTGTGGTGGTTAAGTTAACTACAATCAAGTTTATGCTAAATAAAGTTTTGTAATTTTTAGTTTTTTCAATTGTGTTTATTTCTTTGATAGAAAACACATGACTTTAGTTATACATATCTAATGTCTTAGACCACTACACAAGTTTTTCTTTGCATGCTCTTTTAAATAATTTGTTGAATAAGTCCTGTTAAGCATGTTAATTTTTGTGTATGTTTTTAGTCTGTTTCAGTATGACCAAGTGGAAATCTCTCGTGAACAAGAACCTGGTGATAATTGTCATGATTCCTACACTTATTGCTATGCACTGGTCGTGGACCAAACTTCAAAATAATGAGGTTTTTGTACCGAAGGAAAGCAAAAAAGACTGGCCAATAAAAGACATTTTTCAGAAACTTGCACAGAGTAGTAAAAGTAGTGATTGAACTAGACCAGAATTTGTTTTTGATGCTGAAAAGACTGTAAGATTGTATCAAAGAAATACTTGAGTTAAAAAATGTTTGGATTAATAGTGAATGCTTATTATCTTAAAACATAGTAAATTTTTTATAAAGTTTTAAAACTGGGATGTTAAACGATATTTAATTTGATATTGTCAGTGTTTAAGTTCGAATAATTTTATATATAGCTAGTGATAAGAAAAGTATGATTGAAATACACTTGCTATGGTTAGTATTAAGTAAAGTCTTAGTAATAAAAGTTGTTGAAAAATAAGTTTCTTTCTGTCCGCATTTGCGACTGTGTTGTGTGTTAAGTTTTTTAGACTAGGCCCTCACAGTCATGAACAACTCTGGACTTCATCCCACCAAACTTGCTGAAGCTAAAGTAGAAATTGAACCTTTAAAACTACCTAAAAATCGTGAAGCCTTTGGAGAACTGATGAAACTTGTGGGTTCATGTTTTGGCCCTAAAAGCCGATTAAAATGTATCCAAATTTCTGAAGAAAGCCCTGCTATTGTAACTTCCACAAGCATGAGGCTTTTTCAGTATCTGCCAGTTTCTAATCCTTATCTTAAGCTGGTAATTCAAGCTGTAAAAGAACACCTCAAAATTTTCAAAGATTCTGGGACATTTGTTACATATGTAACATTAAATATGTTAACTAATTTCTCTAACCTGCCCTTTCCACCACAGTTAATTTCAAGCTTGTTTGATGCATTTTCCATCTCTTGTCTGGAATACCTAAAAAGTGAAACTTGTCATCCAAAAGTCCAGCTGGACTTTGATAGCTTGAAACAGTTAATGTCAGTTACTCAGAATATTATTTCTTCTAAACCTGGTTGCTCACTGCAAGATGATGAACGTACACACTTAGCTTTGCAGCTGGTCAAAAGTTTCCTTCACACCATACCTTCTCCTGTGGTGGAAAGGCCATCGCAACCACTACATATCGGCAGACTACATTTCACATCCTATGAAGGTGGTAGGGTTTTGGATTCTGTTATGTATCCTGGCTTGTTACTCTCATCAAAGCTTTGTTCACTAAAGTCTCTAAAGTGCAGAGAAAGATTACAAGTCATCCTTTTCACCGTTTCACTTTCATGGAATAAGGACGATCCTTTTTTACCAAACCACTTGGAATATTGTAGCACTTTAGAACTGAAGTCCCATTTGTCTTCGTGGTTTGAAATGTTTGGAAGGAAATTGATAGACAAAGGGATTGGCATGGTCGCTTGCCAAAAGATAGTGAATATACACTTGAAGAAATATCTTGAAGATCATGGAGTAATAGTGTTGGAGAAGCTGGGGTTGGAAACAGCTGTAGCTTTAAAAGAGCTTTGTGGTAGGTTCTTTCGGTTGTAACTTCTGATTATGATTAAAAGTATTGAAAAAAAACAGCTAATTCTTGTTGTCTGAAAATATTAAATATTTTTATTATAATTATTGTTCTCTCTTTAATCGTATATCACACTTTATTTACACCAAAGGAATGAATACATGCGTTATTTTAAGTGTTTTTCCATTGGTTGTAATAAATATGCACTCAATATATGAAAACAAACTTGAAGATAGTTAAATCATGCTTACACCTTATGTAACAATTCTGTAAATTACTATTAAACAAGGCAGTGGCTTTAAAAACCACGTAGCATTTGTATATTTATGTTTTGCAAAATTTCAACATGAAGTTGTACAAGATTTTAAAGTTAACCCCTTTAAACATGTACTACAGTTACAAGATAGGCCTTAAGTATAGTTTACACTTATATGTGACTAATAAAACACATTAAATGTTCATAATTTAAGCTATTAAGATCCTTATTTAGGTATGTAAAAAATTTTATTTCCTTTAGAAACTAGTTAAACTTATAATAACAAAAGCATACAATATTGTGTGTAGCAGTTAGTGAAAGGCTACAGTAAATGTAACAAACTGTCAGAAGTCTTGATATTACAGACACTAGTTTTAACACATTTGTGCATCCTCTTTAGTGTTCACTTTGTTTTTTTGGGGAAAATCTCACCATCAAATATCCAAAACAGTGTAGATTTTCTGAATAAAACTGGAAACACTGACCTAAGGAAATATGTTAAGTTTTCACACAGATTCTTTATTTACTAACATTCCAATTGAGGAAACTAAGTTTCTTTAAATATAATTTTATCTCTAATTGAAATCTGTGTAAACACCACTGTATTTACTTGTCTTGGTCGGTACTTTAGACAAAAATATTGAATGGAAAATCAACTTTCTTCATGAAATGTTTTAAAGCAGAATTATTTCTACTACATATACATATAAATATTTCAGAATGTCCTCGGTTCTTATATGTTGATCATATATCGGTTCTCATATGTTGATCATATATTGGTTCTCATATGTTGATCATGTATTGGTTCTCATATGTTGATCATGTATCGGTTCTCATATGTTGATCATATATCGGTTCTCATATGTTGATCATGTATTGCTCTAATATGTTGATCATATATTGGTTCTCATATGTTAATCATGTATATCTTGATTGGGAAAAAAAGACAAATTTCCTTTCTAGAATATTTTGATAACATTTCCTTGAAGTTATGCTCACTTCTTTTCATGCCACCATAAACATCAAAACATCTACTATTTCTTCATTTTCTCACAGAACTTATAGAATATTTCACTCAACATGAACATGAAATTAGAAATATCCTTTCTGTTTTCAAAGAACTCCATTTCCACAATGTTTTATTACAAATTGTCATGTTAGACCAAGAAAAAAGACCAACCAATGATAACATGAAACCATCTTATATTGACTTCAACATAAACAGAGACTTTAGAGGCAGCATTAAGAAATAATAACCTTATAATATTATACAAATATCATAACACCATTAAAAATAACTTCAAATAGAACAACACCTTAATATAGAAAACAAGGTAGTTATACCATGCTAAACAAGGTAGTTATACCATGCTAATCCTGTGACAAAGATTATGTGGCCTTTTGCTTGTGAAAATTTCTTTGTTTTGCTTTTCAAGATTTATATTGTTAACCTGCAAGATTTTTCTAAATAATCAGTTTTTCTCCAGTAAATTCTTAAAATTAAATTTTGTTATATTTAGTATTGTGATATGAGAAGTTCTGACTATCAAATTGATTCAAGATCAACAAGAATTTTATGCAAAACAGATAACTACATAAAAATATGAATTGTCAAAAGCCTTCTTAATTTCAAGACTTTCCAATGTCACTTTAAA